TGAGGATGAAGCCAGGTTAGTTGGCCTATAGTGACCAATTAACCAAAAATTACTCACTGTGGTTTCCAGGGGAACCACATGGAGGTCGAACTGATAGGGCTCTTTTTGCTAACAATGGACCTTAAACCTCATTGTTAACAATCCCTTTTCCCCCAACTTTAGTGACGTTATAAGAGAAATGCTGCCCATCCCTCGACCATTGAGTTACCTTAGTCGCCTCTGACGACACCCACCGGAAAGGAAGTTATTTCGGAAAGTCGGTGAAAGTGTTTCATATTACTTTATAATAATAATTCTCCGTGATTCTCTTGTGAGAAAATATTTGTTTAAGATGATGGATTGCGGACGAAAGTCCTCGCTGAAGCAAGAAGAAATATTACTATATCTAAGGATACTTTTAATACGAGTGTAAGATAGATGGATATGTTTACTTTGGCATCACGAAGAAATAAGTATTTGCTGTTCTCCAAATAACAGGCAATCTTTGTCTTTTTTGTTGCAGCGTATTTGATCGAGATTCATCATTATTATCAAATATCTGAAGTCTATATTTGATTTATTGAGACATTTTATTGATTGTCAAGTCTAATGACTTATCAAAGGTCAGATTATATATCTGGCTTACCTGGTGGAAAGTGTAAAGTAACTATCGCCTACGTACATAACATACGGTGACATGTGAGTGGCCGTGCATTGAATAGGCCACCCCTGCCTTTCCCGTGGGTGACGTAAGAGCCAACTAAGGGAGGACGAGTGGCCTCTATCAGTATGCCTCTGTCCCAGAGCCGTAGCTTAGACCCACGTTTAAAGTAGGGCAAAAGAATTTTTTGATAGGGCAGAAGCCATAATTGACTTCGAAAAAGCGTCTTCGTCTAATTTTCTTGGCGCCTTTCATTTTAAGGTAGGGCATTGGGCCTTTTAAGGTAGGGCAATGCCCTCCAATGCCCCTAGCTATGGCCATGCTTTGTACCCAGTAATTTCGTTGTTAATGCTCTGTAATTTCGTTTTCAGGAAAGGAAGATTATCTAGATATGAAAAACAATGTAGAATGTAGATAAACACATCTGTCTATAATAATTTAAAATTAAACCAACAACGATGAGTGAGACAATCGATTTAATTTTCCATCAATAATAGACGTGTATTAGATCCATGTCATTGTTTGTATTGCGTTGATGAATTTTTTTTATATATATTTCATGAGCAAACAAATACAATTTGAATCTTTAAAATTAAAAAGAGAACCAGAGGGAGACTTTGTACAAAAATCGTTTGCTTGGGCACCTTTACGCATTCGTGTTTTTACCGTGAAGCAGTTGTGTTTGCATGGCTGTGTTTCGGTTTGAAAGGTGGGATATGGCAGTGAATTTACAGGGTATAGAGGAATAACACCCGAGTCTTCAGGAATGGCAACGCATGGGGGGTATCATGCTGTTATGTTCATGGTGTCTATGTCTGTAGGCGACGGTTACCACTTTCCATCAGGTGGGCCGTCAACTTGTTTGCCATTCTAAGTTGTATAAAAATAAACATGTTTGTCAAATCATTTTTAATAAAACTATTTGACAAAGTTGAGAAAATTATTTATTTTTTAAATTATATGATAAAGATGATTTTAATTTGAAATTAAATAATTTACAAGTAATTGTTTTTTTGCGTAAAGAAAGAACGTAAATCAAAATATAACTAGTTTAAATTATGAATCAATTAGATAATAACTGACTTCAATAGTAGATAGAAGATTCTGGATAAGGAATTAAATTGTATCCAAGCCAAGGACCTCGTTATGGCTAATGTGAATAGGCCGGTTAATAAACTCACAAACTTCAGCTTGAACCTTATTGTCATTTTCATGATATTGAGGTCAAATGTCACTCTTCAATCTTAACAAAAATAGATTTAACTACCTGTCTAATCCATACTTAAATTACATACAAGATTTAACCCGTGGCTTCAATAATATTTCACATATCTAACTTCGAAACTCGAATTCCATACAAATTTTCAAATCCCGTTTTAATCCCTTAATTATATCACCATAATGATATTAGTCGTCAAATGTCCACTGTTGAACATAGGCCTCCCCATAAACAGCCATAAGGAACGGTCCTGAGCCACCTGTATCCACTGACTCCCTGCAATGCATTTCAGGTCGTTACTCCATCCAATACAGTCGCCCTATATTACATTTGCCCATACTGGGTTGCCACTCAAGAACCATTCTTCGCCATTGGTTGTCGGTTCTTCGAGCTATGTAAACAGCCCATTGCCACTTAAGCTTGCTTATCCTTAAATTGACATTAAATTAACGTTCCACATGCAGTGGACAACTCTTTTTATAAAGAACCCCCACGCCAGTCTTCTATATAACGACCGCAAACTGCGAACCCGTTTAGATTATGTCAAACACGTGTACAATGCTTTGTTTGAGAAACAGAAGGATTACACCGCGTCATGTATATTTAGCATTCCATTTCGGGTATGTACATTTGGAATTACTCGTATACGTTCATTTATATTAGAAATACTGACTGAAATCAAAACACGGGCATTCTTTTAGAGGAGGGAAACCTAATATTTTTAACCGATTCCAAAAAATGGATAATGTTTTAAATTTGGTAATATTTCTTTTATATTCATTACCTCATATCTTTATTACTTAGGTTATATAGATAGAGTGTCTCCATACAAATGCTTCGTGTAAAACAGGTCAACTTTTTCATACGATTTATGTGATAAATAGTTATGATTCATTCCTTTATAATTTCTATATTTATTTTGTATTATAATTTTTGCATCTTTTTAATGCGCAAAAACTCATTTTATTTATTAAATAATTAAATATAGATATGTCAAGATAAATTATGTGCCTAAGTATATAGAACAGTGATAAAAAAAAGAATCAGCTAATTGACAAAAAATTGACCCGTTTATAAACTCGAAGCTCTAATTTTGTAATTTAATCATTGTTAATCATAAACCGATTTGGAATTCTTTCCTATATCTGAAAACTAAAGGTATCCTTTATTCCTTCAGATTAATCCCATAGTCACTTTAGCAAAATCGATTCAGTATCAGATCAAAACAATTGGTTTTGCCACAAATGAAATCTTTTTTTTTTTTGCGGAACGCAATACTATTCTCCAAACAAATATCTTTCATCAAAAACCTTTCCTCAACCAGAACACAGAAAATCTATCCATATTAATATTTATTTAATAATATCAATATTATTTACTCACACTTAAAAATTTCCAATATCAGTAAATGATATTACTCACATTTAAAAATTTCCGATGTGAGTAAATAATATTTATTCACATTGGAAATTTTTTTATCACTTATTCACGCACGTTAGTGCTAAATCTCAACATAGGAACTAAAATATTTAAAAAATATAGGATTACGAATGATCCAATCAAGTTTTTACATAGAAAAGACGTATCTATCGATTCTGTAGACGAATGTTGCATGAATAATGTATGAATACAAACGAAATCAAATAATATTATTGTATGCGATCGACAGACAGGTTGCGTGGGTTAATCCGTTAAATATTCATTTGCCTTAATCTTTAATACTTTTATTATTGTAAGGGCTACAAAATGTAATAGTTTCTAATTTTATTTTTATTAAATTGGAAAAGTAAATATAATTACTAGCTCTATTTCGTAGCCTTTCTTGCATGAATTAGAATAAACTGTACTTTATATAGGACATAGGTTCATCTATGTTCCAAATTTATTACAAATTCGTTCAGGCTGTTAGGCATTAGCATTAAAATATCTAAGCATTTTTACAAACTTTAAAATATATATAAGTAGAATTTAAGTATATTATATTTTTTTTTTAAATAAACCATTTCTTAATAGGCTTCCCCTTAAGTTATTATCCATTGCTATACAATGAATCAATTGTTCAGTAAAAACAATTAATGAACTTAATGTTAGAAATTATGATGATTCATGTTCAACTTTTTAAATCGCTAAAATATATTGCAATAAAAAATTTGTTTAATAAAGAATTACAAATATATATATATATATATATATATATATATATATATATATATATGCGTTGTGTCTGCATTTAGGTTCAAATATATATATATATATACACAATGAAAGTACTAAAAATTTACTTTAAAAGTACTAGATAATTATTAGTAGTTCAGAGTTCATGTACTTACTCTTCATAATAACATTGTAACAACTCTATATTATGAATATGAATGCATTATAATAAATAAATATATAGCATAAAATATTAGTTCTTAGAAATAACAACGTAAGAGCTGTACATGTCCACTACTAACGGATGTACTTTTCATTGAAGTGAGCCATCAGCTTGTTAGCCATTCTAATATGAGGGAGACTTTGTACAAAAGTTGATTACTTGGGTACCTCTGTCCCATTCGTGTTTCAACCGTGAAGCAGTTGTGTTTGTATAGCTGTGTTTCGGTTTAAAGGATGGGATATGGCGTGAATTTACTGGGTACAGAGGAATAACACCTGACTCCTCAGGAATGGCAACGCATGGGGGGTATCATGGGCGAAACAGTATAGTCTGTTATGTCCATGGTACTGCTCATGTCTATAGGCGACGGTTACCACTTTCCATCAGGTGGGCCGTCAACTTGTTTGCCATTCTAAGTTGTATAAAAAAAAATGCAGACAGAGTAATGTTTTCAAAACTTATGGTAAAAGGTAACAAAATATAGCCAGTATTAAGCAGATCTTACAATCTTTCGAAGACATACCATTACAAACAATATAAAGATAATCCGCTAAAAATCAGCACTGTAGCTTCTCGACTACAGTACGTACTCCTCCGTACGTACGACTCGAGCACACTACGTAATTCTGAGCGAAAAACCACTCCAGCAAACAATTGCTAACACCTTTATCTTCTATACATGTTATATTACTTTATATGAACCTTCTTTTTTAAGTGTAACAGTGTTTGCTGAATGACTTATTATTATTTATTTAAAGACTCACCATCATAGACGACTCCCCTCACCAGCGCGTCCGCCTCAAACACAGGATGGCTGACTGTCAAATTAACATCACTATCTTCATCACTGAGCGTGACAATCTCACCACTGTCACTCGGAATCCTCGCGAAGGCACAAGCATCAACCACTGCTCTCTCACTCACACCTGCGTCACTAACTGTCGTCACTTCTAGCACATCGTCATTTGTCGTCACTTCGTCATAAACATCGGGCACTGTATTCGTTGGCTTATCACTGTCAGCTTTCAATGCATTCTTATCAGTCGCATCTATAAGTTCAACAGATTCGATGTTAGGTGGTCCAGGAGATCTACCAGGGGCTGGATCCCCATTTGGTAAGCTCAGTGTCGAGCTATAAGGCAACGAAGCTAGGATGATGACTGTCGCTATTATGTTCAACGAGCGTCTTTTCATTTTGAATTTTGTTAATTTTTTGGATTTCCGTTCTGTTGTATTCTGTATATGGTGTCGTATGTGCCATCGTTTTATTGGTTTCACATATTTGTACATTACTAATGTATTTGATGCCATGTTTATTTATTCTTGTTTCTATGTTTTCTTGGTTTTCTGTTCTTACTGTAGATATTGTTCATGATGAATTCGGAATATGGTTCACAGATCTGTAACAAGCAAATGCAATCATGTTATTTATAATTTTTTGTTCAATTCAGTACAGTTTAAGAACCGAATAAACCAAATTCTTTTAGTTTTGCTTATTTTGGTTATAATAAATATCGTAAAATAAATCGGATCATAAATAAAACTGTTGTCTGTTTGTCTCAATACACTGGAGAATGAATTTCAGTAAATAGTTTTCATACAATATGGAATTGCAAACTTTATACAGTTGCGTAATCAAATAATTACTCGATAGAATTAAAAATATATGGTGTACATTTCATTTATATTAGTGTAGTAAATTATAATCATAATTGCTTATAGCCATTAAGTCAGCCCTGTATACCTATTTTATAGTGTCCAAAAATAAATTAATACTATATATAAAAAATAAATAATAATATACGATATTATATATATAAACACTCTCAAATGAAGAAGCCAAATTAAAAACCTTAAGTCTTTATAAGTAGCCTCCCCCTTGGGCGGTTTTGCTTTGTAGTTGCCATGGGCAAGAGGATTTAGTCCCTTAGTCACCTTTTGCTTACTATGCCGGGACCACACAGCCAACATACATAATATATAATGTCTCAATTCAAAATTAATATTTGTTATTATATATATATATATATATATATATATATATATATATATATATATATATATATATATATATATATATATATATATATATATATATATATATCTCAAATGGCAGGAAGTCAGATTATTAGTGGATTAAGTATTAGAACTATCACTATCAATTCCGTCGCTAGCAATGTCAGCCTATTAGGTCGACCTCCACGCAGCCCCTGGCATCATGGTTACGATGGGCTAACTGACCTGCCATTTCATCCTCACCTATCATCCTTCACTAGTGCCCTACCAGCGTATACCGATAGCGCAGGCGGTGTTACCATTCCGTTATCATCCATTGAAATTAAAGTCTTAACCCTTCTTTGCATGATTTTTTTTATTCGTGAAATAAATCAAGGTGATATAATTCATGTTCAAAATTAAAGTAAAAATGGTTAAAAAATAAATTTAACAGCTATATAACTTTTTTTTTTCTGCAATAAACACTAAAATGGTATCCGTACACGATCAACTTAAAGTGAACTTGTTCTTTTATATAATTTTTGGGCATTCAATGGTATGATGGAAATTTCCACCATTATGCAAAGAAAGGTTAATAAGTAAAATAATCTGTACTGCAATATAAAATTAATAAATTTAATACTTAACATAACATTATTACATAATAATTATTCTTATCTTCAACATTTTTATAAGTGAATTGCAGTACGAATGGGTTATCATCTATGTCAATTTACTTTAACAATAACTGCAAATAATGCCACATTATACACGATGACTATACGAACCTATTGACATGAAGTTAGGTTACAATGTGCCTATAAATATGACAAACTAGCTTCCGCCCGCGACTTCGTCCGCGTGGCCGGGACATATCGTCGTTTTGCAGCGAAAATTCATTAACTACAAAAAAAAACAGATTCTGAGAATAATCGCGTTCGAATATTTTTTTACATAAAAATCGATATAGCTTCTGAATGCTAAATGCTATCAAAAATATTTGTAGGAAGAAAACATAGCTTACAGTTTAATAAAACTACGTGTAATGAATGAAATTCAACAGCAGTTTATTTATTTAAACTAAAATAAAAAAAAAAACAACTTAATTAATTAGCGTTAGAGTAAGGTCCGGTGGAATTGGTACTTGACATTCTGTAATTTCAAAAATATGAAAAAAAAAATGCTTATGTTGTTTAAAATAAGGTAGATTATTGTATTTCCGACCAAATGGGGCAAAAAAATAGATTTCGCCAAAAATGTTAGTGATTTTCGGCTGCACATCGGCGATATTTACTGATCGCGATAAAAAGTAGCCTCCAACCCATATAGTACGAGGGGAAGGGATTGTTAGTAATAGAGTCTTGCAACTCCCTGGCTAGCAATATACCCTATCAGATCGATCTCCACGCGGTTTCCCCCTGGAAACTATCATGACTAATTTATCGTTGAATTCGTCATGATTGGCTAACTAACCTACCTTTTCATCCTCACCTATCACCCCTCACTGGTGCCCCGTCTGTATGCAGCTCAGGTGGAGTTACCATTCCGTTATCAACTATTAAAAAAAAAACAATCAATCAGTTGTGGCACCAAGATGTATTAGAGTAACTTACTCTCAAAATCATAATAATTTTTAAGTAAGGATTCTTAAACTTCTGTTCTATTCTTCTGTAGTATTAATAAAAAAAAAAAACGAAGCCCGTGTCTATGGTTCCAGCAACAGATTGTGTTATATATATTTACTAGCTGACCCCGTAAACGTTGTTTTACCACTTATTGCGAAATATAAAAATCACGATTAAAAAACAGGAGTTGATCGTAAAACGGTGAAAATTGAGTTTGTTATTTTTCAATGCTAAATCATAATAAAATAAAAATGGAAAACTTGTCAAAAAAATTAAAAAAAAAAATTGGGGAAGGTCACCCTTATCATTGAGGGGTCTGAAAAATAGATGTTGGCCGATTCTCAGACCTACCCGATATGCACACAAAATTTCATAAAAATCGGTAAAGCCGTTTCGGAGGAGTTTGGTAACAAACACCGTGACACGAGAATTTTATATATAAGATGTTATACTGACTATTAATTTACTCGTATCTAACTTCACGCTTATGGGGGAAAGGGATTGTTAGTAATGGAGACTGAGAATCCCATTGCTAGCAATATACCCAACCAGGTCGACCTCCTCGCGGTTCTCCCTGCAAACTGTCATGGTTAATTCCTGATGAATTCATCATGATAGGCTAACTGGTCTGTTTTCTTTCTCATCTATCACCCTTCACTGGTGCTCCGCCAGCGTATCCCGTTAGCGCAGGCGAGGTTACCATACCATTTTCACCCATCAACTTCACGCCAAGTCCTTTGCGGGAGTAGTCAGGGCGAACGAAGCATGCCCCTATGTATGCCCCTATTCATACATACATCTCTTGCTTCACTCATTTTCATAACTAGTCAGAACACATTTTTTTTTATAGAGGTTTATTTTTAAACTGTTTCCAAATAGAGAAGTTTTTCCAAATAGAAACGTTTATAGCCAAAGTTACAAACACATTGCGAATACACCTCTGTTTAGAAGGAGCTTAAAAATACTATTTTTTTCATGCAACTTAGAATGGCAAACAAGCTCACAGCCCACCTGATGGAAAGTGGTAACTGTCGCCTATAGACATGAGCAGTACCATGGACATAACAGAGTATACTGTTTCACCCATGATACCCTCCATTCGTTGCCATTTTTGAGAACTGATATGTTATTCCTCTGTACATTGTAAATTCACTACCATATACCACCCTTCAAAATGAAACACAGCCATGCAAACACAACTGCTTCACGGTAGAAACACGAATGGGACAGAGGTGGCTACGCGAACGACTTGTACAAAGTGTCCCTCTGGTATATATAGGATTTATATTGTAATTTTTATTATTGTATTTGTTCGGGACCATTCCTTATGGCAGTCTATGGGAGAGGCCTATGTTTAACAGTAAACGGATAATGGCTGAAATGAATGAATTATTGTAATTAAATAAATCCTAAGCTATAAAAGACAAATATATATATATATATATATATATATATATATATATATATATATATATATATATATATATATATATATATATATATATATATATATATATATATATATATATAACTAGTATTAGTATTTAAGGAATTTTATATTAACTTTATTGTTGTATTGTAATTAAATTTGTTAAATAAAGTTTTGCTTTTTCTAATTATCCGACTGTTCTTATAATAATCGCTAATGATTTTATAATTTCGTATTTTGTAAACAAGAAAGATTAATGACAATACTTTTAGTTAGGGTGGCAATATTTGTAAGTTATCCAAATTTTTATTTTTTGTTAAGTTCCTACTGCCCACTCACTACTTCCTATGCCACTGTGTTTTTGTTTAACGGGTCATGATGGAATGGTAACCCCGCCTGCGCTAACGGTGTACACTGGCGGGGCATCAGTGAGGGATAATAGGTGGTATTGAAAAGCCAGATCTTTTTTTTAATAGGTGATAATGGAATGGTAACCCCGCCTGCGCTATCGATATACGCTAGCGGGGTACCAGTGAGGGATGATAGGTGACGGTGAAAGCAGGTCAGTTAGAGCCCATCATGACAAATTCCAAATTTTCATGACATCAAATTCATGCCAAATCAACCACGATGATTTCCAGGGAAAATATGAAAAGACAAGTCAGTTAGCCCATTGTGATGAATGCACTTGGGATTCAGCGTGATGGTGTCCAACACTCCTCCCCCGGAGGGAAAGGGATTGTTAGAATGGAGTTCGACATTGCTAGCAATATGCCCTAACAGGTCGACCTCCACGTGGTTCCCCCTGGAAACCATCGTGAACAATTCTTGTTGAATTAGTCACGATCGGCTAAACTGACATGCTTCATCCTCATCTATCATCCCTCACTGGTGCCCCACCAGTGTATACCAATAGCGCGGCTGGGGTTACCATTCCATTATCATCCATTAAAAAAAAAACACATCTCTCCCCCCCCCCCATACGATGCCACTGTGTTAGGTTGACTGGGAGCAATCTCTTTTAGAGATAAGGTCGCCTTTGCATACTTTGTTACCAATTTGTTGTTTCTACTGTATGTTTTAGTACAATAAAGAATATATACAATACATATAGTGAACTGTGGTAAATGTTAGAATCCTTAGATTTAGTTCACTTTATTTTTTTAAAACTTCACTTGTAATTACTAAAGCTTACAGAATATGAAACTTAAATAAATTGAAAGTTTAAGTGAAATGAGTGAAAATGTGTTACGAAATATTTCCACTACATTAAATAAACAGTAAACAAATTTAATATTTTCAATGTAATGTATTTATGAATTATTTCACGGTTCATGACTCTTTATCACTAATAGATTGCTTGCTTTTTTCTTAAAAAAATGTACTTATGTCAAGTAAAATAGGATTAAAATAAAACAGAATTCATTTATTTACAAGTTCAAAATACTTTTATTCAATAAATACTAAAAATGGATACGAAAGCTTTTTGAAAGGTATACACACACACATACACATATATACATGTGTATGTTTATATATATATATATATATATATATATATATATATATATATATATATATATATATATATATATATATATATATATATATATATTACATTTATATGAACCTAAAAACATGTGTTCGCTTTCTCCCTATAAAAACATTTGCATTTTTAAATACTTTTTTTATACACAAATGTTTTATTAATAATTTATCCACAAACTTGTATGTATTATTATAGTTAGTAATTTACTTAACAAATAAATATTGTGTAAGTACAACTCAACACAGGAATAATATTCTATAAGAGGTGCAATGGGCGTCACAGTGTAACTAATGATATCTACCATAGTGTTTACGCATATACATAAGTAACAGTCAGCAATTTTTATTTTATCATATGACTTCATCCTTGCCTATTATCACTCACTAGTACCCCGCCAGCTTGAACCAATAGCGTAAGCAGGGTTATCATTCAAATTTCATCCAATTATGAAAAGGCCATCTGACCAAAACTTATAACTTTAATTAATACCTAACTACCATATAATTAATTGGCTTCACATGGTACCCCTGGAAACCATCGTGCTCAATTCCAGGTGTATTCCTTCACTGGTGCCCCGCCAGCGTATACCGTTAGCGCAGGCGGGGTTACCATTTCCTTATCATCCATTGAAAAAAAAAACGTAATTAATTTAATTACAAATAACCCCATTGTATAAAGTCGTCGAAGATTCCCTGTATTCTACACTTCATTCTCTTATCCACCTTGTAGTCTACCTTTTCCACCACCCCTTTCACTTCAGGAAGGTCTTCATGATCTGCAAATATGAATGGTAGCAGCCAAGTTGCAGTAATGAATCCGTAATATAATGTGTCTTTATAAATCTTCTCAAATTCTACTCTCGGAAAATAATCCTCCACGTTCAAGTCGAAGTATCTCAGGAACCTTGCCATCGTGTCGTGGTACAAGTTTTTAATGTTTTCCAAGTGATCTCTTCTGAATTTTTGATCTGTACCTAAGAATATTAAGTATACTAAGTCGGTAACTGGATTCGCGTAGTGTATTACTTGGTAATCAACAGGTATTAATTTCTCTATTTTTCCATCCTAAAAAAAAAAAAAACAATAGAAACATGTAAAATAAACATTTTTAAGAAGCCATTGTCTGAATGAGATTTCTCATCAGAAATGTATGTCTTATATTGGAACTCTTTCGCCGGGTGTCATAAGAGCTAAGAAAGACGCTGCTGCCCATTCTTCGCTTCCTTCTTTCCTTAATCTTTGTTTCTTGTTCTTTCTTGTCCTTAGTCTTTTTCTTTCGCTTAGTCGCGGGAGCGAAGAATGGGCAGCAGCGTCTTTCTTAAAACATTTCTAAAAGCCTAACTACGGTTTTTAACCCGCCTGCCAAACGTGGCAACTACTGCTAAAACTCCCTTTATGGGTAAGGCTTATGTCTAGCAGTGAACACTTAACAGCTGAAAGAATAAAAAATTGGAACTCTTAGTAAATAAATGAATCTTTATGCTCTTCTTCTTTACGGGATAGAGAGATTTCAAAGCCAATGGGGAGAACGAGGAAGAAGATTGTTAATAATGGGGTCTATTTAGCAATCTATGGCTAGCAATATCACCTTGAATAATATCAAATTGATCTTCACAGAAACCCCTCTGGAAACCCTCATGATGGTCCTCGTATGTGGGAAATCATTTTATTTATTGAACGCATTTAAGATTAAGTATTCACTTAGCAAAAGATTTTTGGCCTTTATATGTTAGAACTAATAAATGCCTAACTTTTGACGTAATAATTTTAGAAATTATTTCATATTACAAATTAAAATTGTATGTAAATTACTTACGTTTACTTTCATTAAAATATTATTAGCTCTAAAATCACCATGACATAGACATCCAATAGAACCTTCCTCTTGTAAAAATTTTGGTAATCTCTCCAATACATTTGGAAAAACGGATTCAGCTTTCTTTTTCGCATCACCGCACAAATCACGCGTGGTCGCTGTATATATATTTTTCATGAACTTTTTCCATTTATCGTTAAAGTTCATATTTAATTTAAGGGATTTTATCCTCTTATCATAATATTCTGGGCATTTACTTTTCAGTACGAACGATAAAGCATGGAATTTTGCAAGCTGTCGCACTGCGTGCTCTGCAAAACTCAAAGTGATTGGTTCCATCCTGTCGACAGTAGTAAATCCTTGTTTTGCTAAATTTTCCAAAATTATAAACTCAGAGTTACTCTCCTCGTAGAACTTCGGAATGTTGTACCGATCCTCGATCGGTATTCCGGCATCTTCTTGAAATTTTTGAAAATATTTCAACGGTTCCCTGTATACGTATAATTCATTCAAATGATAATTAGATGCTAAAAAGAAACCATTGACGTCATCGGGTAAGATTTCTTTAACGAAAATATCAATTTCTTTATCTCCATCAGCAGTTTCCCCCTTTATGTTGACCACTGCCAATTTTGCCATATAATTCCCTCCATCTAACGGTAGACGTCTTTCATTCACTACATGAGTCAAGTATCCCTCTCTCTTTATAATATTCTTCACAGCTACCTCCAATGTTGTTGAGAGAACGTTATTCTCACACAAACCATTTTCTTTATCATGTTCAATAGATATTTCACGTTTCTCGTTTTGCATCTTTACACACGGCTTATTAAAAATAATAATGTAATATCAACTAACAGATATGCATGCTTTATATACTGACAATGATGCTGATGTATTTAATGTCATTATCTTTTGTAATACAGTGTGTACCTATTATTTTTTTATTATACCATTGTTGATCTTAATTTTATTGAATCATTCTTTTTTTTTATTGTGTCATTACCTTCGTTTGTATAAAAATCAACGACAGGTAATTATTTTAAATTTTAGGGAGACAGATATTTAAAGTTATGTATGTATGTATTTTTTAATGGATGATAATGGAATCGTAACACCGCCTGCGCTATCAGTATACACTGGTGGGGCACCAGTAAAGGATGATAAGTGAAGATGAAGCAGGTCAGTCAGCCAATCGTGACAAACTCAACAATGGATCAAACACGATGGTTTCCAGGGGGAACAAACAATCCCTTTTCCCCATCTATGTATGTATGTATTATAAATAATTATTCAGAATTACCTTCATACTGATATTACTGTAGATGCTCCTAGTATTATTTTTTTAATGGTAGGTAATGGATTGGTAATTCCTTCTGCGCTCTCGGTTTACTGACAGAACACTAATGAGAGATGATACGTTAGGATAGGATGATAGGAAGGTATCTAGATCCTTAGATCTAGAGACCGAGTATTAAGTGTTAGTAGTGCATAAAATATATTTTATGTTTAATATTTCAGTTCACTAGTGGAGCACTTTTTAAATAATAAATAAGAAATATGGAAAAATGTTCAAATGTTTTTGAAAATTTTCTAATAACTGCGACTTTGCCATACCTCGGTAAGCAATAGTTATAAACACTCTTAGACAACAACTCTTACATAGACACTCTTTATTGTTTCCTTCAAAAGATCACAATAGTAAACTTATTATAAATATAAACAATTACAAGAAATAATCAATGGGAAAACAATGGGAAAACAATGGGCGACCTTATCGCTAAAAGCGATCTCTTCCAGGCAACCATTGGATGGAGAGGAGTAATTATAAACAGTTTGATCGGAGGCACGATGAAAGTCTATTATTTCTAAAATATAGAGATGTGATACATGTAATAATGTAAATATATATCCCCACTTATTATATATACTTATATACTATTATATATATACACTCTTAATATTGTTTCAAATTTGCCGGAGATGTAATATTATTTTTTAAATTTATTTTTATTTTTTCACGACACTACATCATTACCATCATCCTACCCTTATCCCAATTATTATTTGTGGTCGGCGTAATATGTTTTTTATCCATATTACAAATATAATATATATATATATATATATATATATATATATATATATATATATATATATATATGTATATATATATATGTATGTATATATATATGTATATATATATATATATATATATATATATATATATATATGAACATTTTGAAAATGAAAAGTAGCTGGCATGTGTACTAGTATGCGAAGGTCGGTCAATTTGCTTCTAGATAAGTGATAAGCGACACGTGTTATTAGTTATCTATATATAAATATACATACATATATATAAATACATATAACAAAATTGTAAATGGTTGCTATTGTCTATACATTGAAGATATATAAGAAAAACTGTTATAGAGGAGTTTTATGAACGCAATAGAACCTAAAATAATGATTTTTAGAATTTTTGATTTTTTTTCCTATGTTTGTGCACGCCAATCTCAAAAACGGTTTAACCGATTTGAATGTAGTTTTCACTAATGCTTTTCGGTTTGCTCCACTTTACATTTATTGTTTATTTTATTTCAATCGGTTTATAAATAAAAAAAGTATATATGTATGTATGTAAAAGTGTATATATATATATATATATATATATATATATATATATATATATATATATATATATATATATATATATATATATATATATATATATATATATATATATATATATATATATATAGTCTCTATGGGTATTCTATATTACATATATGCATCTATTAGTTATTTATTCCCAATGAGATAAGCCTTGCTTAGTTTGTTACTAAATAACGTTATCTGAATAAAGGGAGGGGACTGTAATTGATTAGATTTTTTTATACCACTGAGGTGGCAGACAAGCATACGACCCACCTGATGGTAAGCAGTTAGTTAAGCCTATGAACGCCTGCAATACCAGGCGCATCACGCGCGTTGCCAACCCTGAAAAAAAAATCTTAATCCCTTTTTTTAAGGACCCCATGCTATAGTCTCTTAGAAAAACCTCGACAAGGAGCTCGTTCCATAACCAGAGCGTTCGTAGGAGGAAACATCTCTAAAACTATGCTATACGGGGGAGAAGGGATTGTTAGTAATGGGACTAGAGATCCCATTGCTAACAATATACCTTATCAGGTCGACCTCCACGCGGTTCCCCCTGGAAACCATCTTGATTGTATAATAATAAAAAGAGAAACGCTGTGTGATCTATTCATATTCCCCCAAGAACACTTTAATACGGGTGAAGCCGCAATAAATAGCTAAACGTATTATAAACGTACAATTATATAGTAATAAGTATTTACTATTACGTTTCAGCGTCATCATGATGATTTACACATTTACCGCCGGAATAATTGTGCATGAACTATATAATGTTTAGTGGCGCGACTCGACGTCCATCAAAATGATTTTTACAGTTCAAAATTAAGATTTTACCGTATTATACCGACATTAATATTAATTATTAATTATATGTGGTTTGTATTATTCTTTGTGTATACATATCTTGTTTTTATACAATGTATGATTGCCTATTTTTATTTTTAAAATAACATACAATTTACATGAAAAGGTTTGCTGGAAGACATCTCTTATTAGAGATAAGCTCGCCTCTGTACATTATGTTTCAAATGAATTGTGGTTAACATTATATTTTGTGTACAATAAAGAATTAATCGTTGTAAAATTATTTTGAACAAATACAACTGTTAGTTCGATTCAAAAACTAAATCATTGAACCGATTTTGATAAAATCTCTACGGGACCAATCTTTTAAATAAAAAATAATTTTCCAATTCGGTCTATAACTGATGAAATTATGAGGTAATGAACATAAAAAATATCACCTAATTGTAAAATATCATCTTTTTTAAGTTGGTTGTAAAGAAAATAAAATCGTCTTTTCGGCAATTTAGTGTTCATAAATTTATGCGACCATTTAGGCTGTAGGATATAAGGGTGAACTCCCTATCGATGGCGAGCTGTACGATGATAGAAAGTGAAACAATTTCTCTGAGCACAATCTCTTGTACAAATAGTAGAACGCGCAGAGTGAGGCAAAATCTTTCCTAAGACCTAAGGATTCGATGTCGCTTGTGACCCTGTGATCATCGACAATTCTCATAGCTCGTCGCTGCACCGAGTCGAAGGATTCAAGCTGGTATTTCGGTGCTCCCACCCATAAGTGACAGCAGTACTCCATGTGGGACCAGATTTGCGATTTGTAAAGCTTTAATTGCTGATCCGGCGTGAAGTAATGTAAAAGGCAGTATAAATATCAGTGACGTGTTACAAAAAATAAGAAAACTTAAATGGAATTGGACTGGACATATAATGAGAACCAACAAAGAAAAATGGACGAAGGATATAATAGAATGGTATCCTAAAAATGGGAAAAGACAACGAGTAGGGCAAATCAAATAATGGGAGGACGATTTACCTAAAGCATGGAGAAAGTCAGCTAGGGATAGGGGAAAGTGGAAGCAGTTGGGGGAGGCCTATATCGACAGACAACCTGACCAACATAATGGTTACTAGAAAGCTAGCTTAGTAATAAGTAGTATGTAAGTTAAAGTAAAAATGTGGTCAGAGAATAAAGGATTTATTATTATTATTAATGTAAAAGGTCGAAGGACCGTTTAAAAGGTCGAAGGTCCGAATTTGTCGTCAAAAGGTATTCAAATTAGAAAGCAAATTTATCGTATAAAAAATCTTTTCCGTCTTTTGTTCTAGTCATTTGTATTGTCCCAAGCCGCCAGTTTTGTTTGTAGAATGTCTTAGCGGCCAGCACGAACCGGTAAAAGAAGCCGCAACATAATGCTTCACTGTGTTCAGCACAACGAGATCTTTAGATGCCAGCTTCACCTTATTTATCTAATTTTTTTATACAACTTAGAATGGCAAACAAACTGACGGTCCACCTGATGGAAAGTGGTAACCGTCGCCTATAGACATAAGCAGTACCATGGACATAACAGAGTACACTTTTTCGCTCATGATACCGCCCATGCGTTGCCATTCCTGAGGACTCCAGTGTTATTCTTCTGTACCCTGTAAATTCACGCCATATCCCACCCTTCAAACCGAAACACAGCCATGCAAACACAACTGCTTCATGGTAGAAACACGAATGGGATAGAGGTACCCAAGCAATCGACTTTTGTACAGTCTCTCTCTGGTAAGAGGCGAGTTTTAAGAAGGCTTTCAATTTCTTGTTCAGATGAACACTTGACACAATCAGAGTTACTATTCCATTTATATATATACAGAAAAAATAAAAATCCCTGCACTGTTGGCTTGTCGGTATACCAGTAAAGGATGGTAGAAAATATTGGCAGTTGACCTATCGTGACAAATTCGTCGGAAATTAATCGAACCATGTGGAGGTGGACCTGTCATAGTATATTGTTCACTTACGTATAAAGCTTACATTCCAAGTCGGAATTCACATAAGCGTTAAGACGCGCACCGGCTCACATCGGTAGATGTAAATCGTGCTTTATTTACACAGTTATACTATGCAGGTGGTATACCCACCGTTATTGCAGTAATTACGCAGTAATACTACAAGATTACAAGTAATACTTTAATACTTATATTAAGGTTTACTTTAAACATCATTTAATTTTGTTAACTTTTTAATGAAAAATCTACAAAAATAAATAATTTGTGTTGTAAGTAATAAAACGAGCTTTTACACGTGTCTCGGTTTAAAGATACTCTACTAGTCTCTCTACTATATATGTATATATATATCACAGCTGATGTGATGATGATATAGTATATATATAGCCGTTAACTGTCCACTGCTGAACTTAGGCCTTCTTCATAACAGGGGTTTCGCCAGTAGTTGTCATGCTTGACATGCGGATTGGCAACTGCAATTAGGCTTTGGTGACATTTTAACAGGGACGCTTTGTCCATACCTCAGCCATTAAGTTCTCTTACCGTGCCGTATTCTATGCCTTATAGCTATGTAGCTATAAGGACACTATCCATCAGCAAAATTTGCATTCCTTATAAAAACTCTTAAATACCAGAAGAAGACTTTGTACAAAAGTCGTTTGCTTGGGCACTTCTGTCCCATTCGTGTTTCTACCGTGAAGCAGTTGTGTTTGCATAAGTTCAAAGGATGGGATATGGCAGTGAATTTGAAGAGCACAAAAGAATAACACCTGAGTCCTCAGGAATGGCAACACATCCAGGGTATCATGGGCGAAACAGTATTCTCTATTATGTCCATGGTACTTCTCATGTCTATAGGCGACGGTTACCACTTTCCATCAGGTGTGCCGTCAGCTTGTTTGCCATTCTAAGTTGCATAAAAAAACATAAATCCATCACAGTGATACAGAAAATGGAGAAAGGAAGAACTAATATTAAAAGAGTCAAAACTAAAACAACAATTTTAATAAACACTAATAAAAAAAAAAATTATAATCACACATCTTAAAGATAACCCCACTGTGTAAAATCCTCTACGATGCCTTCTAATCTATTCTTCAGTCTCCCGTCAATATTAAATCGAGAGACGCTTGGAGAAACCTTCGAAAAATCTGGTATATCGTCCTTGGCTGCAAAATTTAATGGTGAAAAACACAGCGCTATCATAAAACCATACTCCAAGCAAGATTTAAACATCTCTTCGTATTTAGCCTTTGAAAAATAATCTTCAACATCCATATTAAAATATTTAAGAAAATGTCTTAACGTGTCGTGGTACAATTGTTTTATTTCCTCCAAATGGTTCCTCCTGAACTGTTGATCTGTGCCAGTGAAAATGAAAAACATCATATCCATCAATGGGTTTCCATGGTATATCATCTGGTAATCTACAGTAACAACCTCAGATACTTCACCGTCCTTTAAAAGTAAAATTACATTTATTAATAAGAGTACTGCTGATTAAAATAAGCGACGGCAGCTTTTTTTTTATACAACTTAGAATGGCAAACAAGCTGACGGTCCACCTGATGGAAAGTGGTAACCGTCGCCTATAGACATGAACAGTACCATGGACATAACAGAGCTCAATTTGATAGTGCTAGAGCGCAGTCCAGGGCCTCAATATGAAGTTGTTTTTTCATAATAATACCAAGATATGTATGTATGTTAATGTACCAGAGGGAGACTTTGTACAAAAGTTTGTTTCATATTTCTACTGTGAAGCAGTTGTGTTTGCATGACTGTATTTCGGTTTAAAAGATAGTATATGACAATGAATTTACAGAGTACAAAGGAATAACACCTGAGTCCTCAGGAATGGCAACGCATGGAGGGTATCATGGGCGAAACAGTATACTCTGTTATGTCCATGGTACTGTTCATGTCTATAGGCGACGGTTACTACTTTCCATCAGTTGGGCCGTCAGTTTGTTATATACATTGTATATTTTTTATTACGTTGCACCGTCCATTATATTTTCCGTTATTCCTGTCTATGGTCGACTGATAGATAACGCCATATTGTGTGAATTAAGCCATTTACACTTTCTTGGTGTATTAAAGTTAAAAAAATTTATGAAATAAATAAGTATGTGACCAAATCATCCTGAACTAACACAGAGACCACTTTCCATCAGGTGGGCTGTCAGCTTGTTTGCCATTCTAAGTTGTATAAAAAAAAAAGACAATATGGTTTACTTAGGCAATTAAATGAAAAAAAAGTTCTACACTCAAAGTCGATTGACCCCAATATGCCAAATTACCAAGTGCTTTTTCACGCAACGTTTAAAGTAAATGTCCCTATTAAGTTAATATTTGGATTATTTGAAAATACTCGTCAATTATTTTGCACTACGAAGTGCATTTAAAACTGTAACTATATTACAGTAAAGATTTTTTTACCCTAACACTTTCATTCAAATAGTAGTGTTTAATTAAAAAAATTATAACCAAAATATAAAAAAAAATTATAAACAAAATATAAATTCAAATTCGATTCTAACTTCACCCTAACTCCTTTGCAAAATAGAGTTAGTCAGTTACTTTAGATTATAAACCGCAATAACGCAAGATAGACATTTTGCTATTAGACCTTAGCACACGTTGTCATTGCCTTCCCTATAGAAACAACAAATTATGAGCAATATTACATATTAGATTAAAATATTCAAATTCTCGGCAGGATTATCCCCACGTCCCTTAGCTATTCAGGAGAGTTTAAAATTTTATTATGCCACAGAATAGCTACTGTCCGTAGCCAATTTTTCAATCTCTTCTTAAACATCATTAAATTTGATATTGGCGTTATTTACTATGTTATATATAAACTTTCGACTTATAATTTTATATCATAACAGGTTTTTTTTTTAATGTAGGATGCACAGTTTGAAAGTGAATTTAAAAATTACTTACAGTTATTTTTGTCAGAATATTTGTACTTTTAAAATCCCCGTGGCATAAGCATCCTATAGATTTGTCTTGTAAATACTGAGGCATTTTTTCTATAACTTTCGGGATAAACTTTTCCACCTTCTTTTTCATGTCGTCGTCCAAAGATTGCATAGATATACGACTGAAATTTGTCACGAATCCTTTAAACGCGTCATTAAATTTTATTGGAGATTCAATAGGTTTTATCTTATTCTCAAAGTATTGTGGTCTTTTATTTTTTAGAACAAATGACAATGCGTGCAATCTCGCAAGCTGCTGAATCGATAATCTTGCAAAACTTAAAGATATTGGATCAATACTGTCGATCGTCATAAAACCTTTCTTGGATAGATTTTCCAAAATAAGAAACTCCGAGTTAGTTTCTTCGTAACATTTAACTATTCTATATCTTTCATTTATTGGAACTCCAGCATCATCTTGCAGTTTTGTAAAAACCTCTGATAGTTCCTTGTATACAAATAATTCTCTTGAATGTATATCAGACACTGAAAAAAAATCCAAATTGTCGCCTGGCAAAATATTTTTCACAAAGATATTCATTTCTTTATCTCGCTCAGCAGTTTTTCCTCTCACTTCGATTTCTGTAGTTGTTGACAAATAACTACCACCATTTTGTGGAATGGTCGCTACATCTATTTTATAGGTAACATATCCTTCACGCCGTATAATACTTTTTAATGCTTCTTTTAAGTTTTCCGAAAGAGAATTATCGTCACTAGAACAATTTAGATCACTGGACTGTTTCATTTTCCTTAATAAATTACTTTCCTCCATTGCTGTTAATCATAAAATGATATGAAACCAAGTTATTTATACACGCAATGTTTAAATATATTTAGTCTTTACAGAATGCTATAAAATACGCGTAATCTTAATTGTAGGTTTAGATTACTAGGTTCATAATTTTTTATACTCTATGAAAAACCCAAATGCTTGAGGTACCATTTATTACAAACAATTAATAGCCCAATTCTTTAAATTGTTAAAATGTATCATCATTACCATCATCAAGGTCTCCCCCATAATAGAGGTTTCTGCCAGTAGTTGGCAAGCAGGTTAGCAACCGTAGACAGGCTTTGGTGATGCTTTAACAGGGACTGCTGAAACTGCGTAGAGATGTTGCATCTCTATGCATTTTCTACTGAATTTATCATCGGGAGTGTTCTGAGGTATTGTTCGGATTGATACCTGCTGCTGATTTTACCACTGTACAACCGCCACAAACTAAGGTTTCATCTCAACCATCTGGATGAGTGGCGGTCCTCCCCCATACGTTTTTCAAGGCACTTTCTTCCTCGCACAACCACTCTTTGAAATCGACTTCCAGAGCAGTATTTCCGAACCGATACGACAACATAACCTTCAAAAAAGGAGCATATTCCTTTTTAAAAGGCCGGCAGCACGCCTGCAATGCCGCTGGTGTTGTGGGTGATCATGGGCGACGGTAGTCACCATCAGGTGAGCCGTATGCTTGTGTGCCCCTGCCCCTGTGTTATAAATAAAAATTAAATTCCTTTATGCCGAGACCACACGTCGCGGTTTAAAATTTATATAAATTGATAAGTTTTATATTTATATTGTATACTACGTAGGTATGTCACCAGATCTTATCTATGTACGCATAAATACGAGTATAAGTTACCGAAGAAGGAGGTTCTTATGAACGTTTTTATTTTTACTTTTTAACTCAGTTTTTAGTAAATTAAAGCTTTAATAGAAAAATGGTTTATTTATTTTTACTTTAATTTTATTTTTAAGTAATTACCGGGCCGGCTTCGTACAAGTAGATAATATTTTTAAAAATAATAGGTATATAGTCTATGTCACTTGATAATAATCAATATTATTATCAAGTGAAGAGAAAGAGAGAAAGAGAAGTTAGAAAACAATTTTTCTACATGCTCTGCAGTAGAATTAAAAAAAAATGACGATGTAAAATTGCTTGTAAAATGCATCTATTTGAATAAATATTATTCAAATTTGAATTTATAGGTGAAAGTATCTCGTTAAATCTGTTAAGTGGTTTTTCAGTTTATCCATTACAAACAAATAAAACAAGCAATCTAATCTTTCTTCTTTATAATATTAGTATAGATATTAATTATATTTATATATTTAATAAAATGCGATTTTCAAACTCACAAGTAATTACATTATTTTCTCTTTCACTTTAGATATTAATTATATTTATATATTTAATTATATTTAATAAAATGCGATTTTCAAACTCACAAGTAATTGCATTATTTTCTCTTTCACTTTAGATATTAATTATGTTTAATTATATTTAATTACATTTAATAAAATGCGATTTTCAAACTCACGAGTAATTACATTATTTTCTCTTTCACTTTAGATATTAATTATGTTTAATTATATTTAATAAAAAGTGATTTTCAAACTCACAAGTAATTACATTATTTTCTCTTTCACTCTCTATTTTAAAGTTGTGATTCAAGTATATTTAGTTCAAATTTCATTCAACCGTTTAAATATTTAAATATCTTAACATGTTTATAACCTATCAAAATTATCTATACCTATAATAAATCTGTAGAGAGATCAATTCTGTACATTAAATATATTTCCAAAATAACTATCAGGGGGTGATTAGTGATCGATACTGATGCCGAAAATCCAATCAGTAAAATTTTTGTATGTCTGTCTATATGTTCGTTATAGAAACAAAAACTACTCGACGGATTTTAACGAAACTTGGTACAATTATTCTTAATACTCCTGGGCAGGTTATAGTATACTTTTCATCACGCTACGATCAATAGGAGCAGAGCAGTGAAGGCAAATGTTAAAAATGTCAGTAAATAATATATATCAGTAGAATATATATAAGAGATATATGTAGTCACATCATTGTATTATAATATATTACAGTGATAAATTATATAATATAAGTATATATTAGATATGATAATTATAAACCTTCAGTCAATACAAAATTATCGCTGCCACAACACAGACCGCACGTCATATTTTATCTCTCATCTCGTAACACGAACATATAAAATTACAAGTCAGCGTGGCCATCATCTTGGTAAGAAATAAAATAAAGTTTACAAGAAAAGACACATTTCATACAAGAATAATAAAATGTACGGAGATAATTACAACAAACGAAGTCTTCGCTCTAATCTTTCCACTTCATAATATTAGCTTCAAACTGACATGTACAATGCAATACAAATAATGACACGCTGAACACTAAAGCTGGTTCTAAATTTCAAAATGTTTATATTAAGAAAACACTTCGAGATGATAGTAATTTCATGGTTACATTACACGAAGTTTTTTTTTTTTATACAACTTAGAATGGCAAACAAGCTGACGGCCCACCTGATGGAAAGTGGTAACCGTCGCCTATAGACATGAGCAGTACCATGGACATAACAGAATACACTGTCTCGCCCATGATACCCCCCGTGTGTTGCCATTCCTGAGTACTCAGGTGTTATTCCTCTGTAGCCAGTAAATTCACGCCATATCCCACCCTTCAAACCGAAACACAGCCATGAAAACACAACTGCTTCACGGTTGAAACACGAATGGGACAGAGGTATCCAAGCAATCGACATTTGTACAAAGTCTCCCTCTGATATAAAGAATAAAGAAACCAATAATTTTTGTGAAAGAAATCATTGCTGAAAAAACACAACGCTGTCAACACGTATACGCAACAACGCAGTAACAATATTTACGCAGCTGGAACATATTTGTCATAACTTATATTATATTAATGTATCTTCGAATTCAAATTGAGATTCAAGTTATATTAATTTAAATGGACTTGTTTACAAACACTTTTAAACAATTCTATTTAAATCCAGTCAGATCCCTGCAGTAAAATGTGCGGAGTTGTTACATGAGTGCAGTGTTAAATTGTCATTAGCAATAGATTTGGTTTGAGATCGATGTCGGATTCAAGAGTTATCCTACTGTTTGTTTGTTTGTTTTGTTATTATATTATTATTATAATTTAATTGCTTTCTATTTGTATATAATTGTTATTTTCTTTTGTTTGTTTTGTTTTTATTTTATTTAGAATTTCTGATGAAAAGTGGTAATTGTTCTTGTTTTTGATACCTCCATGCGTTGCCATTCCTGTGTGTTATTCCTCTGTACCCTGTAAATTCACGCCATATCCCACCCTTCAAACCGAAACACAGCTATTCTCACAGCTGAAACACGATTAAATTATACAAAGTCTCTCTCTGGTGATTTGATTTCTTTTGTTCTTGTTTTGTGCGCTACTGTGTGGGCCGCATGCTTCTTCGATTAAATTATTTCTTTCTTTCTTCTTTCAGTAGATTTAAAAAAATCTACATTTTTTAAGTCTACTGCAATGTTCGGAATATTGTTATCGGTTGAGAAGGGCCCGCAACTCAACAGATACTGTTTTAAATCTCTGTTAACATTATATGTATTTATTTAAATGTACTATGTCTACAATTACATGATTATTAAAAAGCAAGTGCATAATCGACTAACACCATGCACGCTTCTCATTCAAGTAATCGTTTAAAGTATAATAGGCTTTGTTTAATAAGTTTTTTTTTTTTTAATAACACTTTTAAATTTTTTAAAAGGTAGATAGTAAATATCCTTCAGTATCTTATTATAATATTTAATGTCCATTCCCATAAAAAGCCTATTAACTTTTTGTGAACGGTACTTTCGGAACAGCAAGTTTTATTTTCACCTATCTAGTGTTAATATTATTCAGATCGCTGTTTTTATGAAACAGTCGAAGATTCGTGCGTATATACAAAATGTTCGCGTATATGTACTGTGAAATTACGGTGAGAACATTTGCTTTCAGAAGAACGGTACAATATACCCAATGCTAACAGTGAGAATGATTCAAAATTAATAATTCTAGAGAAGTTATTGAACAAATCGGTCAAGAGGATGGATGTAATTACATTGAAATTCGCTGAACTGTCCATCAAAGAGCTTGCAAAATTCGACGCCCTTCCGTTTATTTTACAAGTAAAAGATTCCGAATGTTTCAATAGAAGAATTATAACTTTCAAGTATTTAATCCGATTTAACAGTATTTGTACTGTTTATAAAACAAAATAAAAAAACTAATTATTTTGTTTTATAAACTGTTCATAAAACAAAAATATCGAAGTTTGTTTTTCAAAGTCACAGGCATTTTAATATTTACAAATAAAAAAAAAAAACGCTTGTTAATTCATAACTCAACCTTTTAGCTTAGAATTTTTTAATCTGCCAAGAAGTACAAAATATGCAACAACATTTTTAAAGATACGTTTTTATATGGTTATTTTACACTTTATTTTACTTATTTCATACTTCTCTATTTAAATTTTGAACTTAACTTTAATTTACAAGAATTTATTTAAGTTTAAATAGTATAAGTTTAATCTTGCTTGCAAAGTCAGAAAAATAAAACAAGAGAAAACGTAAGGGAAAACTCTGGCCCTCTGCGCTTTTTTACTCTTTAAGTGCCAAAAAGATAGTTGCCTCTTTACATTGCTTCTTGTTATGCTGTTTTTTGTCCAAATCATTATCATCATCATCATTGTCTTGGCCATTTTTATGCAGTTTTGAAAAAATAATAAAATTTCTACATACATTAATTCAATTATCATACATTTATTTTCAGAAAGATGAATTAGAAAAAGTTATATTAATCGACTATCAACTAATATACTTAAGTTTGTCTGTGATAGATTTTTTGCATTTCCTATACCGATACAGATACAAATGTTCTGGACTTACAAACTATTTGAACAATTAATGGATACAAGCTACTTTCTTA